TTATTCAGCAATAAAAAGGAAGTAAGTGGGGCTAGGGTTGTAGCTCAGTGGTAGAGCATGTGTGAGGCACTGGGTTTGATCCTCAGGACCACTTAAAAATAAATAAATAAAACAGAGGTTAAAAAAAATGATAAAAACAGTAAACTTAAAAAAAAAAAAGGAATTAAGTACTGGCACATGCTACAACATGGATGAGCCTTAAGAACCTGATGCTAGATGAAAGTCATTATACAAGACCACATATTGTATGATTCCATTCATATGAAATGTCCACAACAGGTTAATATAGAGAGACAGAAAGAAGTAGTTTAGTGCTTACCAGAGAATAGGAGATCTGAGGGGGAAAGAGGATTGGGAGCTACTGGGCAGAATTTCTGGGATGATGACAATGTTCTAAAACAGATTGTGGTGATGGCTGTACAATTCTGTGAATGTATTCAAAAAGCCACTGATTGAAACATTTTAAATGAGTGAATTGTGATGACAGTTGAACAATGTCTCCATAAAGTTGTTGAAAATATTAACAGAGGCCATGTTTGGGTAATAGAACTCTAGGAGGGTTTTTGTTTTGTTTAATGTAGGCTTATCCATCCTTTCTGACTTTTCTACAATGAATATGATTACTTTGAAAGATTTTTTAAAAATCTTCCCATGTTATCATAAAGAAAACACCAAACATACAAAATTTTTTGAAAATAAAAAGGAAGTACAACTTTCTTTATAATAGTGGAAAACTGTTAACAATCCTTATGACCCCAGCAGGGCAAATGCTAGGCAAAGCATCATGGTTTATTACCACATCAATCCCAATCAGTTAGGATCCCATTCGCCAACCTGTGGCTGGGCACAGAAGCTCAAATGCTTTTACACTGATGATGATTTACAAAGGTGCTACCAAAGCTACAAATGTATGACCTAATTCCAGAATGTTATAGGAAACATTCTGAAACAACAAAAAAAAAAAAAAAAGAGAGAGAGCGAGAGAAAACACATACTTTTATTTGTATGTGAACAAAGATCACAGATAATAATGATACAGAGCCTAAAACTAACTTAAAAGTTTTAAAAAGGAAATGTAACCAATGACCTCATGATTATTATTATAATTGTGCGTGTGGTGCTAGAACTCAGGGCCTTGCTCATGCTGGGCAAGCACTCTATCACTTCGCCACATCCCCAGCCCTGATTATTATTGAAGTTCTACTTTTCCCAGTCTATATCTGGTCTGTGTACTCATTTGAATATCTCAGTGCTGGGTTACTCTGAGGTAGGGAAGTCTAATGCCAAACATAGAATATGGAAAAGATAAAGATAGGAAACAATTCCCAGCTTCTGGGAAATATATCCAACCAGCATGTTTATTATTCACAGACTATGATTCATCATCCCTATTTTTTTTAAGCCAGCATCATACTCTAATCATATTGCTAGGTTACAGGCCCCTAAGTTATTTGAAAATAATAAAAACTGAATCCATATGAGAAGGTCATCATTACCCTAGGTACATGTATGACTGCACGAATGGTATGACTTTACGTTGTGTACAACCAGAGAAATGAAAAGTTGTACTCCATTTGTGTACAATGAATCAAAGTGCATTCTGCTGTCATGTATAACTAATTAGAATAACAACAACAATAACAACAAAAATGAATCCATTAAAAAGGTACATTAGGCTTTTCTCCTCTATATCATTTCTTTAAGGAGAATGTTTGATCATTATAAAACAATCAAAATATTGGATATACAGATTACTTTGGATCTTAAAACCAAAGAGGATTCCAATGAAAATAACATAAATTATCCAATGATTCTTCATCCTGAAAAAATGGAATAAAAAACCCAAGGCAAGCAAATAACCACACTCCCTAGCCCACATAGGCGCTACTTTTCTTTTTTTTTTTTTTTTTTTTTTTAATTTATTTTTAAGTTTTCGGCAGGCACAACATCTTTGTTTGTATGTGGTGCTGAGGATCGAACCCGGGCCGCACGCATGCCAGGCAAGCACGCTACCGCTTGAGCCACATCCCCAGCCCCTAGGCGCTACTATTCTATCCAGGCAACGTGAAGAAATCTTTATGTAGCTCACTGGATTTATATTCAGGAATATGGTTTATCATCAAACTTTCTTAAGAGTAACTCTCAGACACAATTTCTCTTGTGCTCTGAAAAGCTATACTCTGGCAGAAAGATGAGAGGCTGAGCAAATGAGTGTACACAACTACAGTTTAATTTCATGATCCACAGTCCTAATAACATAAACTAATTAAACTAATGGAACATTCTACTCATGGCCACAGTATAAATAGCTCAGTCCTGCCTATTAGGATAATTCATGCAGACGATAGCTATCAGAATAAATGATAAGCAAGGACATTTCTAGTTAAGACTCATCCTGTGCTTCTGTGTACAGGTCCTTAGTTCTCTGACTTCTTTTACCCCATCTCAAAACCTAAAAGCTAAATAAATTTGATATATTTTAACTAGAAAATATTTGGCTTCACATGTTACCAATCTTTTTAGTAATTAAGAAAAATGGCACCTAAACACCATAAAATGAGAACTATGACAGTGATGATGTGACACTACCAACACCAGGTACGAGATAAGGATCTAGGAAGAAAGGGGGTTAAAAAAGACAGTCTCAAGTGCTTAATAATACCAACATTGTTGCAATTTGGGATCTGATAACCTTGAGTCTCAACCAATAATTAATTAATGCTGGCTCAATTAGACATACACTGAAAGAAAAATCACAGGCAGTATTGCTTCCAATATATTAGTTACTTCATCAATCAAAAAGAAATATTTTAAAAATCTTTCCTGCAGAGCTATAGCATAACATCAAAAAGTGATGACTTCAATAGGGCATGATGGTGCACACTTGTAATCCCAATGACTTGGGAGGCTGAGACAAGAGAATTGGAAGTTCGAGGGCAGCCTCAGCAATTAAGTGAGGCCCTATCTCAAAATAAAAGATAAAAAGGGCTGGGGATATAGCTCAGTGGTAAACCACTCCTGCTTTCGATCCCCAGTGTATGTATATATATATGTGATAGGGAAAGAAAGAGAATGGACATTTATTATCTACTAGGTACAAGGCGCCTTCTTTCACACATTAGCTATGATTATTTCATAAATCAAGAAACTGAATTCCTAAAAAGTAAAATAACTTACCTGAGGGCACAGCAAGCAAGTGACCAGTTAAAACTCAGGTTTGTTTTTAGAGCCACTGTGTTCTGTACAACATGACTACTACCTAGTTTAAGTACAACCTCCTAGAAATTTCACTTAGAATTTTAATACTACATTTGAGGGGTCAAAATTTTTACTGCAATAAAATTCTGGGAGTGACATCCTGACCTTTTTCACCAAGCAGTAACAGTGAAACATAACCTTTTGATAAGGGCCTGAAATATTTTACCATGAACCCTGAGAAGTTTGGATTTCTAAATACAATTTGGAAATATTTACATGAACTGAAACTGTAGCCCTGACTAAAGCTAAATAGTTATTAGTGGCACCTTAATCTTAAATCACTCCATAACTAAAACACTACAATCTAGAAAAAAATAGCAAATGCAAAGATGTGGGAAAAGAAACTACATACACCTGGGTCCTGGCAATATGAGATGATCGATTTCCACGTTACATGTTTGATCACTGTTTGTACTCTATTTGTGAACAATAATCTGCCAACTCAAGGTGCAGTGTTCAAGTTCAAACCCTGACCCTAGCTCTGAGTTGTGAAAGTGGGTTTTTCTAATTATTAAAAAAAACCCTTAACTTATCAAAGTTTTATCAAGAAGAAAGTGTTTACCAATTTTCCTTTTAAAGAAACCTGAATTTGAAAAAGGTGACCTTATTTATTACTTGGGCAGTTTCCAAATTCTTGTTACTCCAAGAGCACAGACAATTATTTACCTAAAATGCATGAGAGTTCAAAGAGTTCACCCTGGCTGGCCCTCAGGGCGACACAAGTCAATTCTCCATCTGGACACCTGGTACATGATATGCCATATTAAAAGGAACACGGTACCTTCAAAGAGGTCATTAAACAGAACCTGTACAAATGTGCCATACCCACATCCTGAACAATACGTTTTCTAAAAGGCACTCACTTCTTCCAACCAGAAGATATAAAACCAACTCTACCCACAAAATGTCCTCCTCGGTCACGGTGCCCATGTCCACAGCCTAAGTGAAGGTCGTAAATAATTAAATAAACATAAACTTGGGCCCTGTCATTCTTCTCCAGAAAAAAAAAAAATGAGAGGACCTTTCTGATGAACCCACAGTGCTCTCACGTGAGGAGACAGTTTTTGGTATACAAACTTTTGAAGTGGCTTCACCTCTGGCCCATGGGGGGATCGTAAAAGAGTCCAATTCCCACAGCTTAAATTGCTTAATGAAGCCTTGGCGCACAAAAGGAAGCCTCCTACCTCCGAACACTAAGAAACCTGAAGGGCAGGTAAGCAGAATCCAGCCCTTGGGTAAAAATGCTTCCCCATTCGCTTGCTGCATTCGCTTCCCAAAGTCGCATTTTTAAAAAGTTCAAACAAGGATTCGAAACTCAAGTCATCCCCTTCCCCTCGATTACAGGGCCCTTTCCGTCCTTCCGCGGCTATCGCCAGGCAGAGCCGTCGCCCACCTGTGGGGAGGGTCCGGCAGGTGGGCAGCCCCCTGCGGGAGACTGCAAGAAGTTCACACCAGCCCACCCGGCCCCGCGAGCCGCTGCCACTGACAGCCGCGCTGGCCCCTGAGGCCCCTCGGGTGGCGGACTCCTCAGCGTGGCCACTGCCGGCCACGACTCCGGCCGGGAAGGCGCTCGCGGCCCGGTGCCGCCTCCCACGCCCGGTCCACGACTCTGCTGGGCGCACGGCCTCAGGCCACCGCCGTACCCCGGCTCGGATTCCAGCCCCAGAGACCGCGCGACCCTCCCCCGGTCACAGCCCGGTTCGCCGCGGGCTGTCCCCATCCCGCCATCCCTGGTCACTTACCCTGGAGCCGGGCAACAGCAGCGCCAGCAGCAGCAGCACCAACAGCCGCCAGGCCGGCATGTCGGGGACTGGGCCCTGGCTCCGGGCCCGGCCGGCCGGCTCCAGGGGCGGTGCGGACGGAGGACTGGGCGGGGGCGCCGCGACGACAGCGCGGCAGCGGCCGAGCCACAGCGGACGCAGAGCTGACTAGGCGGCGGCGGCACCCCCATTCCGGGCCCTATAAGCGCCGGGTGCCGCCACTTCTTCCGGTCGGGGCGAGCTCGAGGGGCGGGGCCTGGGCGGGGCCTAACCAGGGGCGGGCCCGCTGCCCGGAGGGGCGGGTCGAATGTAGGCTGGGGCGGGGTCTGGGCGTGGCTAAACCGAAAGGCGGGGCTGAGGGCGGAGCGAGATTCTGGAGGGCTCTGGTCCTTTGGGCCACCGCTGCTGATGAGAAGGACCGACTCTTGGCGTCCGGCGTTAGGAGGGCCGGCTATTGAGGCGAGAAGCTTGTCTGAAGGACAGTGCCCAGTCCTCCAGGCGACCCCGCTAACCCTGCCTCGGGACCCGCGGCGTCAGATCTAATCAGGGGAAAGCCCGGGACACCGGCCGTCCAGTGTACCCAGAAGCCTACCCTTGGTCTTCCCGCTGTTGTGGAAGAATTGCTGGCGGGGGATTCCAGCAAGCACCGCTTCTGCCCTACCTACAGTCGCACAGTTCACTGCAGAGGCCCTCCTGCTGTGCCCCATCCAGCCGAAAAAGGCCCATTTATTGGGGCTTTCTTTCTTTCTTCCCTTTCTTTACCCTCAGGAATTCCCCTCAAATTGAGTCCAGCAGCCATCAGTTCCCTTTGGAATGAACCATGGCCAAGTCATTCACTAAAAATTATAGGAAGAAAACTATTTGGGATACTTGAGTCTTGTGTGTTGGTTAATGGGACGTTTGTATACGTAACCTTGTGAAGCTTGACCTCATGAAACTTGAGATGATTTGTGTCACAGCTCATTGCCCGGAGTGTGTGGGTTGAGGACTCCTGCCAGTCTAGTTGAGGGTTGTGGGCTATTAATCAGAATTAAAGCGCCCAGCAGCTGCTTGGTCACTAGGTCCCAAGCTGCCTTCCACTGAGAAGGACATATTACTTGTAATAAGATTTGAAGTACAAATCTTAGGAAAGCAGGAAGAGGTACTAATTTTTTTTATTTTTCCTAACTTGCTCAGATGACAGACTTAAGATATTTCAGATTTAGAGGGAGCGGGGAAGTAAGCAATGTTAGAAGAAAATTGCAAAGGAGTCGCAGAGGCATGGCCAAGTGGCTGATCTGTGTGCATCGTGGGTCAACCTACCCAACTATAACAGACAGAAATGCTCACAGGAAGCCCAAATCCTGTAAAGTTTCCCCATTCCCAACCCCTAACTTGAATCATAGCTAATAGACTAATCCTATCCCGGCTGGAGAAAGCGACACATCAGTTTAAGAGACAAATTTGGCAACTGTGAAAGCAGGAGAGACATTTTGAGAAGTGTCACTGACATGTCTATATGCAAACAGAGAGGTTTGAGATGGGCAGAGAGAAGTTGGCAAAACAGCCTCAGCATTCCCATAGCCAGGTAGCCAGGGAGGAGTCTACAGTCTTTAAATGGAGGAATTCTTTCATGACTACCTGGACAGATCGCAAAGTGACAACAAGATCTATTAGACATGTGCTTGAGTTTAAAAAAAAAAAAAAGAAGAAGAAGAAGAAGAAGCTTAACTGAAAAGCTTGGCTTTCACATCCCTTCTTCGGTGTATTTTCTCAAACAGTAGAGTAAGTCTGGGAGGAGAACTTGCTGTGCTGAAACCCTGACAGACCTTTGACAATTCAAAATGTCACTGTGACCCTGTAAATGCTGCAGATGAAACACAAAGGGGTATGCTGACCTCAATCTGACTCATAAATCAGTTTTAAAGATCCTGGAAACAAACAAAAATCATCCAAGAAACCTGGGCCAGGTAGGAGTATTTGTCCTGTATTTAGTTGGATCAAATTCCCAGGCCTTAATTGCACTGTTACATGTTCTCAGAATTGCTTATGCACCACAAGATGGTTTTTAGGCTTACCCAGGCCACATGCTTCATGAACTTCTTCCGTTGATTGACAGTTTAGACTGATAAGCACTGGTTTTATTTATGGTGGTGTTGCCCATAATCTTGCTTTTCAGTCAAATACTGTTTTTGACAGCTTTTTACTTATGACAAGACAAAAGCAGGCATGACTGATAAAAACAGAAATAAAAATATTTTGTAGATGCCTGTGAAGTGTACCTTCCCCTATAAAAGACCCAAAAACGGAGCTGGACGTGGTGGCAAACATCAGTAATCCCAGCTACTTGGGAAGTTGAGGGAGGAGAATTCCAAGTTTGAGGCTAGTCTCAGCAACTTAGCAAGACCCTGTCTCAAAATTTTAAAAAGGGACTGGGCATGGTGGCACACACCTATAATCCCAGCAACTCCAGAGGCTAAGACAGGAAGATTGCAAATTCAAAGCCAACCTTAGCAAAGGCACTAAGCAACTGAGTGGGACCCCTTTCTCTAAATAAAATACAAAATAGGGCAGAGATGTGTCCCAGTGGTCAAGTGCCCCTGAGTGCAATCCCCAGTACAAAAAAAAAAAAAAAAATTAAAAGAGCTGGGTATGTAGCTCAGTGGCAGAATGCCTCACCTTTGGAGTGAGTTCAGACCTCACTCCAAAAACACTGAATATGGACACTAAATAAGCTTTCAGGATTTAAATAATATAAACTAATTAAGGCCAAGGTCATGGTCTTAGTATAAAATAAACCCTCTTTTGTCACAAGGTAAGCATTAGCTTCAGCAAGGATTATAGCAGGATCTCAATGCTGGGAGGCAGGAGAAAGGGAGATAGCAAGATCTTATTTTCACTTCTCTTTAAAGCAGTGGTTCCCAAAGTTGAAGAGCTTTAAAAAAAAAAAAATGGGCCAAGGACCTATAAAGCTATATATGCTAAACCTCAGGCTAGCATCATCCTAAATGGAGAAAAACTGAAGGCATTCCCTCTAAAATCTGGAACAAGACAGGGATGCCCTCTATCACCACTTCTATTCAATTTAGTTCTTGAAATACTAGCCAGAGCAATTAGACAGACAAAAGAAATTAAAGGCATAAAAATAGGAAAAGAAGAACTTAAATCATCGCTATTTACGGATGACATGATAATATATTTAACAGACCCAAAAGGGTCTACAAAGAAACTGCTAGAGTTAATAAATGAATTTAGCAAAGTGGCAGGATATAAAATCAACACACATAAATCAAAGGCATTCCTGTATATCAGCAACAAAACTTCTGAAATGGAAATGAGGAAAACCACTCCATTCACAATATCCTCAAAGAAAATAAGATACTTGGGAATCAACCTAACAAAAGAGGTGAAAGATTTATATAATGAAAACTACAGAACCCTAAAGAGAGAGATAGAAGAAGATCTTAGAAGATGGAAAAATGTACCCTGTTCATGGATAGGCAGAACTAACATCATCAAAATGGCGATATTACCCAAAGTTCTCTACAGGTTTAATGCGATGCCAATCAAAATCCCAACAGCATTTCTTGTAGAAATAGATAAAGCAATCATGAAATTCATATGGAAAAACAAAAGACCCAGAATAGCAAAAGCAATTCTAAGCAGGAAGTGTGAATCTGGAGGTATAGCCGTACCAGAGTTCAAACTGTACTACAAAGCAATAGTAATAAAAACAGCGTGGTACTGGTACCAAAACAGGCAGGTGGACCAATGGTACAGAATAGAGGACACAGAAACCAATCCACAAAATTACAACTTTCTTATATTTGATAAAGGGGCCAAAAACATGCAATGGAGGGAAGGATAGCATCTTCAACAAATGGTGCTGGGAAAATTGGAAATCCATATGCAACAAAATGAAACTGAATCCCTTTCTCTCGCCATGCACAAAAGTTAACTCAAAATGGATCAAGGAGCTAGATATCAAATCAGAGACACTGCGTCTGATAGAAGAAAAAGTTGGCTACGATCTGCATACTGTGGGGTCGGGCTCCAAATTCCTTAATAGGATGCCCATAGCCCAAGAGTTAATAACAAGAATAAACAAATGGGACTTACTTAAACTAAAAAGTTTTTTCTCAGCAAGAGAAACAATAAGAGAGGTAAATAGAGAGCCTACATCCTGGGAACAAATTTTTACCCCTCACACTTCAGATAGAGCCCTAATATCCAGAATATACAAAGAACTCAAAAAATTAAACAATAAGATAACAAATAACCCAATCAACAAATGGACCAAGGACCTGAACAGACACTTCACAGAGGAGGACATACAATCAATCAACAAGTACATGAAAAAATGCTCACCATCTCTAGCAGTCAGAGAAATGCAAATCAAAACCACCCTAAGATACCATCTCACTCCAGTAAGATTGGCAGCCATTATGAAGTCAAACAACAACAAGTGTTGGCGAGGATGTGGGGGAAAGGGTACACTTGTACACTGCTGGTGGGACTGCAAATTGGTGAGGCCAATTTGGAAAGCAGTATGGAGATTCCTGGGAAAGCTGGGAATGGATCCACCATTTGACCCAGCTATCGCCCTTCTCGGACTATTCCCTGAGGATCTTAAAAGAGCTCACTATAGGGATACTGCCACATCCATGATCACAGCGGCACAATTCACAATAGCTAGACTGTGGAACCAACCTAGATGCCCTTCAATAGATGAATGGATAAAAAAATGTGGCATCTATACACAATGGAGTATTACGCAGCACTAAAAATGACAAAATCATAGAATTTGCAGGGAAATGGATGGCATTAGAGCAGATTATGCTAAGCGAAGCTAGCCAATCCTTAAAAAACAAATGCCAAATGTCTTCTTTGATATAAAGAGAGCAACTAAGAACAGAACAGGGAGGAAGAGCATGAGGAAAAGATTAACATTAAACAAAGACGAGTGGGGGGAGAGAAAGGGAGAGAGAAGGGAAAGCATATGGAAATGGTAGGAGACCCTCAATGTTACACAAAATTACATATAAGAGGTTGTGAGGGGAAAGGGGGGGGAACAAGGGAGACAATTGAACAACAGCAGATGAGGTAGAGAGCGAAGATGGGAGGGGAGGGGAGGGTGGATAGTAGGGGATAGGAAAAGTAGCAGAATACAACAGTCACTA